AATATTAATGGCTTTTATTTACTTTTTATAATAAGAATACTAATAATAGCAATAATAATAATAATAATAATAATAATAATAATAATAATAATAATAATAATAATAATAATAATAATAATAATAATAATAATAATAACAATAATAACAATCATACTAATAATAATAATAATAATGTCAAAGTGTAATATGAAATAAGAACTTAAAATACAACTGGTTCTGTAAATATTAAGTTTAATTTACTTTTAAAGTAAATATACTAATTTAAAATTTATTATAAGTTATTCTATATTGAAAACAATAAGTACATCTTTAGCTAAAAATATTTTTCTAAAAAGTTAAACACAATCTCTGCCGAATTTAGAACAATTAGTAGATCTGTGGTAAATGTTAAATTTAAAGTTTATTATAACTTTGAATACGTTCATACAAAATTAATCAAATTTATATATTTTTTTAAAATTATAAAAACCCACTTCATAAACGCCTGTTATAAAATCCAAACGTGTAGCATTTCCAAAAAAATGGAAACTAGGATAACTGAAGACTGGATAACAGAGACAAACTCGCTCTTAAACAGTTTGTTCCGCGCCAAAGTCACATTAGAAGATATTATCGTAACTTTGAAAGTTAAAAGATTTTAAATTAAAAACCTGTTAATAATTTTAACTTAAGTGTTATATAGTGCAATAAAATACTCTATTAAACGATTTTCCTCATAAATAGGTTTGTGATTAGGGTAAAAGTTAATGTTAATTTTCCAGACTCCGATCATAATGATTTTTTATGCAAAACATTTTTATCTTATACAAAACCATATCTAAACTTGGTACTTGCGCAAAGCTCGAAAGTCTCTAAAACATAAAAAAAATATGGGCGCCCATAATTTTGAAAATCATAACTGAAACATAAAAAAAATATGCTCGGCCATAATTTTTCAAATCTCTTTGATTTAGAGTGCTCAAAATCAAATTTTAACATAAAAAAAGAATCCCCCAACTCAAAAAATTCTATTTTGATGCATAATGTGTTCATAAAACAGTTTCTCATAGTTATTTTAACTTTATTCGGCCTCTTTAACCTTAGTGGAGTTCGAATTAAAGAAACAGATTAGTACAAAGGTAAACAAGACTGTCCAGTAAAACTGTTTATTATTTAATTAAAGTTTTTACTGACTATTTTAAAACAAGCTTGAAATCAAATCTTTAGTTGAAGAACTGTTCAAACGCCTGAATTAACTTTTAAAAATTAAAAAAAAAAAAAAAAACACTTAATAAAATAAAAAAGTAGTATAATGCAATATTTAGTATATTTAGACGGATTCGGGACAGATAATTATCCAGTATTTTTATATGAAATCATGTTTTTTCCAGAAGTTTTACATATTTTAATCGGTACAGCTCCACTAAATTGACCGATTCGGTCACTTAAGTCAACTTATTTTAGTTTAGGGGAGACCGGGGCTAGTTGGCTCGGTTTTTACTCTATGAGCTCTGTAGCCCTAATAGCACACTTTTTTGAAAATATTAAAGTGTAGTCTCAAAGCGTATGAACTTGGGTAACTTATAAAAGTTTCATGGATTTACAAAAAAAAATTCTTGGGGCCTTACGGGGCCCTCAAAAAAAAAAAAAAAATTGCGCCAACTTACCCCACCACGGGGTAAGTTGACGCAAACTATAAACGTGATTATTAATGTACTATTAAGTGCAAAATTAATAGAAATTTTTTACCTATTAATTTTGGCAACAATTTAAGCTAATAATTTGATATTATTTTTAGCTTGTGCTAAATATTAGTACGTATAACAGCCAAAACAGCAGCCCTCTTTTTACCTGTTACAAAAAACCTAAAAAAAAAATTTTTATAATTTTTTTGTAAGAATAAGTTTTTTCAATATTGTTAAAAATTAAAAAAATAAAAAAAATTATTTTTATAAAAATAAATATTTTTCTCCATAGTAAATGCTATGAGCCAACTTACCCCGTAAAAATTTTGTCAACTTACCCCGAAGGCTTTTTTTTCAATAAACAGTCTATAGATCCTGAAAAACGGCAACTTTTAAAAAAAGTCAAACTGAATATAGTAAACCAATTGTGGCTAGAACTTTTACAATAATTTTTTTTCCATTTGACTAACTATTTTCTTTGTAAAGTAAAAAGGAAGCGATGTTTCAAAAGTTACGTTTTTGTCCAAAAAACACTTAAATCTTAATATCTCCCATGCGCATGCGCGAATCCTGACAATACTACATTGAATGATGAAACAGTCAATTAGGAAGATTCTGTGTAATTTTTATCACTTTCTGATGAAAGGCTTTAAAGATAAACGCAATTCGTCAACTTACCCCTGCGGCCAACTAGCCCCGGTCTCCCCTACATGTTTAAGTTTACATTTTTACATGTTTAAAACGAACAAAAGTTTTTCAAGTATATATAAAAAAGAATTGAAAATTGAAAAGGAATTTTAAAGTACAACTGTTTCTATAATTTTTAACTTTAATCTTTATTTTGAAGTAAACTTACAACATTAATAAATCTGCATGTTTTTTAATGTTATCGTATGCAAATTTTATATGCTCTGTACTTGCATGTTCGTAGGTGATAGCCAGTCGCAAAATAAATTTGTCGCCAAGTTTTGATGGAGTTATGTGTATTTCACCTTCTGCATTGATTAACTCGTTCAATTTTTCATTAAGTTCATTGCTGCCTTTTAAACGAAAACAAACTAATCCCATTGTAACTGGATAACTAATTTCAAATCTATTGTCAGACTGAATTATTGCTTCAAATTCATGGGCAAGTTGAATATGGTTTCGAATATAACTTTGTATTCCTTTTTTTCCATAAAGACGTAAAGTAAACCATACTTTTAGAGACCGAAAACGACGCCCTAATGAAATCTGCCAGTGCCGGTATTGAGGTAATTCTCCGCCTATAGGAAATCTTAAATATACGGGATCAACGTTGAAAGCACTGCTTATTTCGTCTTTGTCTTTCACCCATAATGCAGAACAATCAATTGATACTAGCATCCACTTATGCAAGTTGAAGTTAAATGAATCTACGAACTCAATACCTGCCATTAGATAACGATTCTCTTCGCATGCAAACGAACTTCCAGCATATGCCGCATCTACATGAAGCCATATTTTTTCCCTATTGCATATTGGTCCTAATTCTTGAATGTTGTCAAACGCGCATGAAGTTGTAGTACCAAGCGTTGCACATAAATAAAATGGAATAAGTCCATTTTGCTTATCTGTACAAATTGCTTTTTCAAGCTCTTCTCCTCTTAAAATAAAATTTTTGTCTGTATCCACGTAATGTATTTTTATTCCCGCTAACGATGCAGCCTTTGATACAGAAGAATGGGATTGACTTGATGTATACATTACAAGTTTTGACATAATGTCGCTAACGCATGAATTATTTTTAGTTATTCTAGATCGTGCAAGTAGCAACGTGTAATGAGTGGCATCGCTAGCAAAACTTTGTAAAACACCACCTCCTGAACTATTCGAAGAAAATTTAAAATGCTCAGGTAAACCTATAACATCCGCAAGCCAATCCATCATTATCATTTCTAACTCAGTACTGACTGGCATCGATATCCAAGAGAAACCTGGGCATGCCAAAGCGTTAGCTAAAATATCCGCTACAATTGATGGAAAGGTTATACCAGTTGTAAAATATGCATGAAAGTGAGGGTGACGCCAGTTAGTCACTCCAGGAGTAATGAAATTTTCAATGTCTTTCATGATATCTTCCCATTTTTCAGGTTCAGTTGGTGCGCTCGAAGGCAAAAGGCTTTTAAGGTAACCTGGACGAACTTTAGGAAGCACGCTTTTATTATCTATATTTTCGTAATAGTTTGCAACGTAATCAATCATTTCTTTTGAGAATTTTTTAAACTCTTCAATACTTGTCATTCTTAAGTCTAAAGTAAAAAGAGCATGTACGGCTGCTCTCAAAAAATAAAACACACACACAGATATATATATATATACATATATATATATATATATATATATATATATATATATATATATATATATATATATATATATATATATATATATATATATATATATATATATATATATATATATATATATATATATATATATATATATATATATATATATATATATATGTATATATATATAAATATATATATAATATAAATATAAACAACTATTAGGGATATTTTTTTCAACTTAAAATTTGGCAAAGCATTTAACCATAATATTCAATCAAAAAGCCAATAAAAGAAATAAAAATTTGAAATGTAAAAAATGTAATTAAATAAATATATATATACTAAGCACTCAAAAAGCCGTGCTGAAATTCGGCACTAAAAGCTGTGCTGAAATTCGGCACTGAAAGACGTGCTGAAATTCGGCACTGAAAGCAAACATATTGCAGAACGAATCATGGGAGCTAGCTATACTAAATAAGTAATAATCTGCCAAATTGTTAGCACTTGGTTATAATAAACATCTGTATTAACAAAAAAAAAAAAATAAAGCAGTATAATTATAGAATAAGCAAACTAATCTCAATTAAGTTCTCAACTAAAAAATTTAAATTTTTTTATGAGTACCCTTAAAAAGAGGTTTAATTAGGGCGTGTATTTAGGGGCGTACATATCCCTCTTTTAATTATAAAAAATAAGTAAATATCATAATATGTGTTATAGCAACAACAAAAATTACCACAAGAACTCTATGAACTTGAATTATAACATTCTAACAATAATTAAAACTTATATATTAAACTTACAAGGTGAGATAATATTTGTAAAAATGTCAAAATAATTTCTTGGAAAACTGGATACAACTTTTTTTTAAAGAAAAAATTCATACTTTTTTACAACAACTTTATTTCTGTGCCAAATTTTGGTTTGGTTTTTATGATTACAACAACAAAAGATATAAATCACAAAGTTTATACATATATTAAAAAACTTACCTTTTCGCTTTTAGTGAATGATTAGAAGTGAGTTTTAAGAATAATACTACTTAATAATCTTTTTTAATAATAGAAATTAATCGAAAAGATAAACCAAGTTGTCTCTCAACACAAAACATTACAACAATAACATCATAACAATAACATATAACAATAACACATTGCATAAGATATTTTAATGTAACCAATATGCTAAATATTAACATATATCATCACATATTTCCAGACTTATAGAAAAAAATCTTGACAAGACATCTTTGCTATGTGCGTTGTTTGGTTGATAAGGTTAATCATGTTGCTTTTTACGTTTCCAAGTAACAACACTCTGAAAATAAAGTAGTTACATAATAAAAAAATTAACAAACTTTTTATACATATCGCTTAATATAACACATTTAACACTATATATATATATATATATATATATATATATATATATATATATATATATATATAGTGTTATACATTTACATATATATATATATATATATATATATATATATATATATATATATATATATATATATATATATATATATATATATATATATATATATATATATATATATGTGTTTATATTATTTAACACATTAAACATGCTAAATAAATAAAATAATGAATAAAAAAAGTACAAAGAAATAAAATCATAAAATTAATGCACCAATGTAAAATAAATAAGATGAATACAACAAGTGTTTGAAACTTACAAACAAGAAATTTTTGAAATAAAATAATTAAAAATAATAAACTAATAACATTAGGAAAAGTACCATAATTGTGTAGCACTTTTTACCATATCTTAGATAGGATGCATATCAATTTTAAAAACAATATGCACCTCAACACGTAACATAAAGTTGACCATGAGAGAAACACTGTTTTTTTTTAAATATATAACAACTTTATTTAAATATAGATCATGACTTTTGTTGATTGTCATCGAAACCAATCAAATAGGAAATTGTTTTAGAACAAATATAAAATTAAAATGTGATGGTGTCAACTGAGTTTGAAAAACAAATACCCGCCAAAAACACGAGTCAAAACCTCTGCATCAATATAATTATTTTGAAGAGCACAAACTTTTATTCGAGTGGCAATGTATAGTCCATCTTTGAGATCTAAATTTCTAAGTAATATATTTAAAGTACTAATTGCAAGAAAGGAAAAGAAAAATTTGCATATTTACTTTTCTACACTTTTAAATTATTTAGGCGTAAACCAGTATTACTTGCCATATGTACTGCTGTCTTGTAGAGTTTGGTTTTTTAAGCAAAAGCTAGAATAAATAAACTAAAACTTAAAAATCCCCCTGTCTTGGTGCTCTTGATTGGGTAAAGGCTAGAGATAGTGTCTCGATAAAAATTCTCATCTTGGGTAGATGTTAACTGCATCCAACTACTGTGTTGTAGAAGGCCTCCTAGGCAAAGATTTTAGGGGAAAGCAGAACAATTTTGTTTGAAACTAAAAACGACTAAAAATGGTAAGTTATAACTGGTAATGCGTAAGTTATCGGACAATAACAAATTAATTAAAAAAAGGACGTATAAAATATATATAATCGTATATCAATCGTAAATCATAATTAATGTATTAGTTTTTTTTTTTTTATGATTTGTTGATTACAAACAAGTTGGTGTCATTAGCAAAATGGTAAGAAGTTGTATGTTTTAGCAAAAAGTTAAGATCATTAAAAAAAACAAGGAAAAGTAATGGCCCTAATTCAGAGCCTTGAAGTACACATTTAGTTATATAGTATATATATATATATATATATATATATATATATATATATATATATATATATATATATATTATATATATATATATATATATATATATATATATATATATATATATATATATATATATATATATATGTATATATATATATATATATATATATATATATATATATTTAAATATATATACCTATTTGCAAGTTGATGTAGCAGCACTCCTAGCATGTTCTGAATTAGTAAATAGCACTTATATATATTCATATATATATATATATATATATATATAAATATATATATATATATAAATATATATATATATATATATATATATATATATATATATATATATATATGTATATATATATATATATATATGTATATATATATATATATATATATATATATATATATATATATATATATATATATATATATATATATATATATATATATATATATATATATATATATATATATATTAGTCTTTTTTAATACTTTAGGTGAGCATTGTTGAGGCCACATTAAGAATCTTACATTACGATTTTAGGTTAATTAACGAGACTGAGACAACTGCATAACTTATTGTTTGGGATGCCGTGCTCTATTTATGAATAAGTTATACTCTCTTAATCACGCCTAAATAATAATGTATATATATATATATATATATATATATATATATATATATATATATATATATATATATATATATATATATATATATATATATATATATATATATATATATATATATATATATATATATATATATATATATATATATATATATATATATATATATATATATATATATATATATATATATATATATATATATATATATATATATATATATATATATATATATATATATATATATATATATATATATATATATATATAGTGTTTTTTAAGCTTCTATGAACGATAGAGATTTTTTTGGAGAAAGACACCGGTCGCTGCAGAAGTAAAGTGGGGGCAAGAAAAATCCGCGGTTTATCAACTCTGGTTCATTGAAACAAAAATTGAAAGTGGAACAAAGAGGAATTTTCAATTGGCTTGTGCATATGCTTATATTTGTGCATTCAAAATTACTACTTTAAATTGTAAATCATAAAAGTGCTTATGTTTTTTATTTTTATTAAAAAAAAAAAAAAAAAAAAGGATATTTATTTACTAAAGATAAAATAGCTTGACAGTCATTATTAGAGATTTGAAAACTGATAACAAATGAGATTAAATTGACAATAAAGATACCAAAGATATCCAATTTTTTTTTTTTTTTTTTACATATTTTATGTTAAAATTAAACTTTGATATTTTTGTGGAATTTTTGAATGTTGATTTTCTACCGAAAAAGTTGTTTACTTTGACATTTTAAATAAAAAATTAAGAAAAATAATATTTAAATCTAATCTGCCTCGCTGTGTTTTGGTTTGTATTTATGTTTTTTTTATTAATTAGTTTTTTTTTTATTAATTAATTTTTTGATTTCGCCCAAGATTACTTTTTATTGTTTTTATGATAAACGCTTTTTCTTTGTTAAAAAAATACATCGTTAAAATTTTAATGCTCTAAGACTATTGTAACTTTAATTAGTTTAAAAGTATTGTACTACCTTAAGAGTATTGCGAAATACAAAAATTTTTTTAAAACCTTTTTATTAAAGAGTAAGAATAAATGGTCTAAAAGTATTATTGTAATATAACGGTAAAAAAAAGTTATTGCAATTATAGAGATAATTTATTGCTTAAAAAACCTAAATATAGTATAAAGGTATTATTATTATTTTTATTATTATTTTTATTATTATTGTTAATATTGTTATTATCAGGGGCGAACCCAGGAACTTTTGGTATTTAAATTAAGGAACTTCATAAGTTCTAAATTCCAAACTTTTGCGTTTTCATGTAAGAATGTTCCACCCAAAATCTACAATTTATAAATATATTTAGAGTTTTATATTGGGTTTACCAATATCTATTACTTAATTGTTGCAATCAAATGCATAATTATGTAAATAGTTACATAATTATTGCAATCAGTCACATGAAAAATTATTTAAGTGCAGGCCGAAACCATTCCATGCAACAAGAATCAGAAATAAATAAGTTGATTAGCCGCAGCCCATATAATTTGCACAACGAACGTCGTTGTGCAAATTATATGGGCTCTGCAAGTATTGATGAATAGTAGACTTATTCATCATTACTTGCAGAATTGAAACAGGCGAACCTATTGAAAGAAAGCCACAACCAAACATTGCAAAAAAAATTAAATAAAATTTAATCTTCAAGGACTATACTTATGTAAAAAGTAATTACCTCAACCGTAAAAAAAAACAATAATAAATCTTTCCAATCTCTTTCCAATAACGATACTATTTTTTGAAAAAACTTTAGCACATGAAACACCAAAATAAAGCTCCGCAGAGAATGACTTTAAAAAACGCACTTTCTCATTCACAAAAACAGCCGTATCTTATCTTGAGCATCAAAAAACCTATCATTTTAAGCAACTTCATTAATTAATATCATAATTTAAATAGCATGACAACAGCTTATGTATTATCTCAAATAACCCATGGAATTAGAAGTAGATTAGCATAAAACATTGAGAATGTAATACAGTTTTGATGATCTTGTTTCGTTCTGACGTATATACAAAATATTAAAAATAATAACATTATAAAATAATAACAAAATAATAATAAAAAATTATAACGGGTACGGTAAATATTTTTAACAGTAAAACAATAAAAGAATATTGACTAAACAACCAAATGTTTAAAATAAATAACACCGTCGAACTTGTATGAATATCCTTTAAAAAAAAAAATGTGTATATATGCATATGTATATATATATGTATATATATATATATGTGTATATATATATATATATATATATATACATATATATATATATATATATATATATATATATATATATATATATATATATATATATATATATATATATATATATATATATATATATATATATATATATATATATATATATATATATATATATATATATATATATACACACACATATACATATATATACATATCGTATCGTAGTTTTAATCTTACAACCAATGTTGCCGCTGGCAGTTTAGTTGCTTAGTAACTTAGTTAAAAAACAATCTTATTTTGTTTTTACAATAGACGTTCAATAGTAAATGTCTGTTTTCCGTACAATTGAACTAACCATAAATTGTTGTTCCGAAAAACCATAAATTTTCTCTTCGACTTTCAGTAAGAGTCAAGTATTATCATATAACTCTGAAGTGTTTAAACTTTGGTTTTAAATTCCATTTGTTTTTAAAATTTTTTTTAGTCTAATATATTAAAAGGACATATGTAAAAATAACCTTCAAATTTATATTGCCTTCTACTCATTGTGCGTATTTTGGACGGTTGGATGTCCTGTCTAGCCACACGTGCAACACGGGTTAGAAGAGACATCCAACCGTCATCGTCTCCGTCAGTTAGTCTTAGTTTTATTACATGACTGATATAACATATTGTTATATGAAATTTATTAAATGAGCGTTTTTTAAATTTTATGCAGAAACTTTTTATAATCTATTGATTGCGGATGTATTCTATTTGCATCTAAATAATGTTAAGGGTGAAGATAAGTTAACCATATCAAACAAAACCCGTCTTACTAAATGATATAGTGACGCAACTACGCCCACTGTGCAAATTAAAAAAACTGGTAGAAAAGAATTAACATATTCCATTGAAAACAATACGATAGTTTATTTGGAAAAAAAGTGACTTACCTCAGAGCAATAAAATATTTTTAACTGTCTTTTAACTAAAACTAGATACAAATTTCTGCACATAGATTACTTCTTATTGTGCCATCAACAAAACGACTCACAAGACCTTTACTATTAACTGTTTATTGTTATCTACAATTTTATTCAACAAAAAATCATTAACTAACAAAATCAACAGTTTTAAATCTGTTCATGACACCTTTAATAAAGTTTTACGCTATGCTTCGACATTAAAAGTCAAAAGTCCTTTTTATTGTACGATTCAACAATCGCATAATTCATTTGTCAAATCGTGATATCGTGATAGAACATTTACAACCAATCAAATGCAGCAAAGTATAGTTTGCAAAGTATAGATGCTGCAAAGTATAGTTTACACTTTATTTTAAGAGAATTTAATTTTAAACGAATTGCGGATCATTTAAAAATAAATTCTCCGATCACCTATTGCTGCTTTTAATAACGAACCAATATTTTTTTAATTTTTCCATATCCTCTAAATAATAACTTACATTAGCTAGATTTGTATAACAAGTTGTAAAATAAAGCACAGTTCTCACTTGTTTCAACACATTTTTTAAAAAAAATATAAAGATCGGTAGTCAAATATTATCCTGGCGGTAGACGTCATATAACGTTTATTTTTGTTTATTATTTTTACCCCGTCACCTGGAAGACTTGATGAAGTTTAAATCCGCCTCTGTATATCAGTTGACGGGGGTTTAAATCCGCTTGTGTATATCAGTAAAAAGTTCTACAAAATAAAAATACTGAACACGTTTTTACGTCACTATGGCTTCTAAGACCTGATTTTTAACAGAAGCCCATTTTTTTTTAGAATTAAAATGATTCTTTTATGTGGTACCTCCTAAAATAAACTCTTCAAAATGATAATAAACGTCGTCTATTTTTAAAATAACAGATATTTTATAATTAAAGAACTAAATTCAATTATTAACTTAGGCAGTTGTTATGGTCAATTTTATGGTAAATTATTGTGAAGCTGATTATTAAAATTTAAAAAGCCCATGTAAAAAACACTTTTTTTATTACTTTGAGTTTTATTTTACTGTAACTATAAGTAACAACTATATTAATTTGTTTTCAAAATTTTCTAAAATTGTTTTACTCTTTTATTTGTTAAGTGCATTGACGTTTTTCACCGAGCAAGCTTTGTTTAAGGCTAAACATAAATTGCTCCCCCTATCCCTAAAGGCACGGCGATCTAGATTGCAGGCCTTGGCAACGTACAAACGGTGTATCTGAATGAAGGCCTACTTTATAAACAGCAAAAACTTAAAAAATATTTAGTAGTTTTATATAACTCAATAAACGTTTTTCTCTCTAAAAGATATATTTTATAATTAAAAACTGAAACTAAAACAAATCCTTATAGTGTAGTCGAAAGAGCCTTTTAATGTAAAAAAAGTCTCTTTCGACTACAATTTTAATTACCTCGTCTCTTAAGCTGTATTTGATTGTCGTCGAAATGTCAAAGCAATTAAATTAATGCGGAAGTACATTAAATTTTATTGTTTTTTAAAAAATTTTTAAAAAACCGCAATAATAACGACTAGAAAGTTTTTTTTAATTAATGGTGTTTTTGTTTTTGTTTTATTAAAAAACATTTTTAAAACATGCGTAAATGTTGCTACATTGACTATCTTATAGCCTGCTGCTACAAGGGAGTGTTTCTACATCGACTATCTTATAGCCTGACTCGCAACGGAGTGCTGCTACATCGACTGACAAATAGCCTGACTCGCAAGGGAGTGCTGCTACATCGACTGAGGGTTTGGTTTGGGCAGGCAGTCTACCATTGAAAAAAAAAATTTAAGTTTTTAAACTTTTTCTGGTCTGGTTTATTAACGCGCTCTTTAAAACTACAGTTTATGGGAAACTCTTTCTGACTAACATGCAAGAGTATATATATATATATATATATATATATATATATATATATATATATATATATATATATATATATATATATATATATATATATATATATACTCTTGCATGTTAGTCAGAAAGAGTTTCCCATAAACTGTATATATTGTCATGATAAGAAGCCTACACTCTCTGATTGCTTGGAGGGGGTATCTGAGCTTGAAAAGGATCTCACTTCTGCTACAGCATGGGGCTCACAGTGGCTGGTGAACTTTAATTCAGATAAAACTCAATTTTATTCGGCCAATCGTTATCGTAATAATTTAGATCTTCCTATATTTATGAATGGTAATGTACTAGATGAGTCATCTACCATTCATCTTCTAGGATTAACTCTTACTTCTGATCTTTCTTTTAAACCGTATATCAAATCCATTGCAAAATTAGCATCTGCTAAGGTTGCATCTCTTTATCGAGCTCGACACTTTCTTACTCCAGATTCTATTCTCTATCTCTATAAATCTCAAATCCGTCCCTGTATGGAATACTGTTGCCACATCTGGGGCGGATCTTCTGGTGATGCTCTTTCTCTTTTAGACAAGGTGCAAAAACGAATTGTAAACATAGTTGGACCTGCTCTGGCAGCCAATCTCCAACCTTTGTCACATCGTCGTAATGTTGCTTCTCTTTCTCTTTTCTACAAATACTATAATGGGCACTGCTCTAAAGAGCTAGCGTCCCTTGTGCCATCTACTAAAATTCATTCTCGTGTTACTCGCCATTCAATTAAGTCTCATCCTTTTTCTGTGACTGTTCCTAAGTGCTTCAAAAACTCTTATTCTTCTAGTTTTTTTCCTCGAACATCAGTTCTTTGGAATTCGCTTCCTTCATCTTGCTTTCCTGATTCATATAATTTGCAATCTTTTAAGTCATCAGTCAATCGTTATCTTGCTCTACAGATTTAGTCTTTTCTCTTCCAGTAACTTCCAACTCTTATAGTGGTTGCTTGCAGCCTTGTTGGAAGTAAAGATGTTAAAAAAAAAAAAAAAAAATATATATATATATATATATATATATATATATATATATATATATATATATATATATATATATATATATATGCATAATTACATATGCATATAAATGTTTAAAAATTGTATGATGCATATATATTTTTATATATTATATAATACTTACGTATGTGTGTGTGTAAACACACTCACACACATATTATTAGAGATCTGTACTTTATACACATTTGAGAGCATTAAGAACTGTATTTGTAAAATACACATTGCTATTTACACACACACTCACACACACACACACACACACACACACACACACACACACACACACACACACACACACACACAATTTTACGAAAAACAAAATTTTAATTTCTTTTTTAATAAAATAGTAAAAAACATATATTAATTATGTAAATAACAATGCCAAAAAAGACTAAAAAGTTTCAACATGTCCAGTGGATTTGTTTTAAATTATAATAGACCAATGCTATTTTATATGCTCAGTAGTAGGCATATAAATTTATGTTATTTTAATTTCTTTTTTATTTAAGATGCCACGAAATTATAATAGAAAAACTGAAATAAAATATAGGCTAGAGGATTTAAAAAAGGCCATAAAAAACGTCAGAAATAAAAATTTTTTGTTCAGTCAAGCCTCTTCAGCTTATTTGGTGCCTAAAACCACCTTATATGACTACTGCGAGAAAGTATTCATAACACGACCAAAAAGCGGAAGAAAATGTATAATCTCAGATGCACAAGAAAAAAAGTTAAATGAATATATTGTCAATTGTAGCCAGATTTTTTTATGGGTTAACAATTGAAATGGTTCAAAAAATTACTTTCAAATTTGCTGAAAAAAAATAAGATGAACCATAAATTTAATAGGACAACCCAATTGGCAGGAAAAGACTGGTATTATTCTTTCATAAAAAGACATTTAAATATTTCATTGAGACAACCTCAGCCCACTTCGTTAAACAGAATAAATGGATTTAATGCAACAGAAGTAAAAAAGTTTTTTAAAAATCTGGAAACTTTATAAAGAACTTATCACTTTGACCCTAATCATATATATAATGTTGATGAGACCAGTATTTCTGATGTTCAACGAAATTCCAAATTCTTAGCGCCTAAGGGCCAGAAACAAGTTGGTATGGCAACCAGTGGAGAAAGGGGTTCAACAACTACAGTTGTTTGTGCATTCAGTGCTTCAGGAAAGTATATTCCTCCATTTTTTGTATTTAAAAGAAAACGCATGAATAATCAGTTGTTGCGGGAAGGCAATGCTGATATGCTGGACCATATACCATGGTCAGTGACTCAGGTTGGGTCAAAGAAAATTTATTTGTGGACTGGCTTATTCACTTTATCTCATTTGCTAAACCAACCAAAAACAAACCTGTGTTATTAGTCCAAGATAACCATGAGAGCCATATAGCCATGAATGCTATCTACTCTGTCGTGGAAATGGAATTGTATTGTTGTCCCTTCAACCACACTTTTCCCATAGAATGAAACCATTAGATTTAACATACTTTGGTCCACTTAAGTCTGCATACAACAGGAAATGTGACATTTTTATGGAAGCAAACATAGGCCAAAGAATTACTCAATATGAAGTTGTTGAACTATTTACAAAAGCTTTTAATCGTCTCAGCAATATTGAAAAAGCAGCCAATGGATTTCGAGCAGCTAGTATTTATCCGTTAGATCCCACAAAATTCAATGATTTATTTCCAATCACTATCATTACACCTGAAACTTCATTACTTGACAACATTCAGAGTTCAAAACTCCAGGTAAACACAATGAATCAATCAGATACTCAAGCCAAATCATCTGAAGTCTTAGTTAAACTGTCATTGAATCCTTCTAGTGTAGGTCTGTCACTTGATATGAATGCAGCCCCTGAACTGGTCTTAATGAGATCAAATCAGCCAATATCACTTTTAAATAATGTTTCTGTACCTAATTTGCCAAAAAAAGAAAACCAGAGAAAGTCTAAGAAAGAAACATTCGACTATTATCACTAGTTCTCCAATGAAAAATTTTTTAAAGGACAAGCAGCAAAAGTAAAGTATAAAGGAACAAAAAGTAAAAAAGGCTGCTGGTAAAAAAAGGACGGGAGGAAGCAACTTTAACAAGTTTGAGGCTAATAATGTACCAAAGAAGAAGAAAATAACCAGAGATGATAAAGAAAATAATTACTATTGTTTAATTTGTGAAGAGAAGTATCATGATCCACCCACTGAAGACTGGGTTAGGTGTTACATATGTAAATCCTGGTCCCACGAGAAGTGCAAAAGTTCCTCAAGCATATCCAATGGTTTTCTCTGTGATTT